TTTTCTCTCGTAAGTTCTCGCGCGTTTAGAGATGCGCCACACTCGCGTTTTAGGTGCGGGAATCCCAACCAATGCTTACCTAACTATTTAAAGATGCTACTTTTAGCCTTACCCCAAATCTACACACGTGTATTTCACTTGTGGAAGTCTATCGATTTGTACCGTGCTTAGGTTGGAGGTTTTTGCCCATATCAACTTTCTTTTCTCTCGTAAGTTCGCGTTTTAGGTGCAGGGATCACAACCAATGCTTACCTTACCTTTTAAAGATGCTGCTTGTAGCCCTCCCCCAAAATCTACAGACGTGTATTTTACTTGTGGAAGTCTATCGATTTGGACAGTGCTTGGGTGAGAGATTCTCGCCACTATCAACTTTCTTTTCTTTCGGAAGTTCTCGCGCGTTTAGAGATGCGCCACACTCGCGTTTTAGGTGCGGGAATCCCAACGAATGCTTATCTAACTTTTTAAAGATGCTACTTTTAGGCCTACCGCAAATTTACACACGTGTTTTTCACTAGTGGAAAACCATCGATTTGTACAGTGTTTGGGTTGGAGATTCCTGCCCATATCAACTTTCTTTTCTCTCGTAAGTTCTCGCGCGTTTAGAGATGCGCCACACTTGCGTTTTATGTGTGGGTATCCCAACCAATGCTTACCTAACCTTTTAAAGATGCTACTTTTAGCCCTGCCCCAAATCTAGACACGTGTATTTCACTTGTGGAAGTCTATTGATTTAGACAGTGCTTAAAGTCGCAGAGACCGGGCTACGCGCAGCGTGATTTTGACCAACTCTGGGTCGATTTCCAGGAACTTGGGCGATTTTTCTGTGTCCGAGGGAATCTAAACTAATTTGCGAAAGACTTTGATTTTTAGTGAAATGGATGAAGGAAAAATTTTTGAACGCTTGATTATGAGAAGTCTGGCCGAAATATAGCCATTTTTTGACTAGAAAGTCGCCGAGACCGGGCTAGGTGAAGCGTGATTTTGACCTACTTTGAGTCGATTTCCAGGAACTCGGGCGATATTTCCGAGTCCCAGAGACTATAAAATAATTCGAAAAGACTTTGGTTTTCAGTAAAAGGGACAGAAGAAAAATCTTTGAAGGTTTGGTTATGGGCAGTCTGGCCGTAATATATCACCTCCTTAACTGACGTAGTGACTAGAAACTTGCTGAGACTGGGCTACACGCAGCGTGATTTTGACCAACTTTAGGCCGATGTCCAGAAACTTGGGTGATATTTCAGAGTCCCAGGGACTCTAAACTACCTCGAGAAGACTTTGGTTTTTAGTGAAATGGACAGCGGTAAAATTTTTGAACGCTTGGTTATGAGTAGTCTGGCCGAAATATAGTCACTTGGTGACTAGAAAGTCTCCGAGACCGGGCTACGCGCAGCGTGATTTTGGCCAAATTTGGGTCGATTTCTAGGAACTCGAGCGATATTTCCGAGTTCCAGGGACTCTAAACTAATTCGAGAGGACGTTGGTTTTTTGTGAAATGGACAGAGGAAAAAATTTTTGAACGCCTGGTTATGAGCAGTCTGGCGGAAATATAGCCTCTCTTTAACTCACTTAGTGACTACAAAGTCGCCGAGACCGGGCTACACGCAGCGTGATTTTGACCCGGGGAGGGGGGGTACTTCGGGAATTTCTGGGTGGGGATGTGCCGCTGGGACCCTGGAACCCTTAGCTTATACCAGAGCTAGTTTAGCTGAATTTTGCTACCCTATACTAGAGTAAACTCTCCAAATCCAGCCATCTATCGACATTGTTGAGGCTGATTTGCGTAAATTTAAACTTGCCGATTTGATTTTTTTATATTTTTGAGTGGCAATTCCTGGCTTCCTTAATCTAGATGAAATCTTCAATCAACTAGTCAGTTTTGTGAAAAATGATACCCTATTCTGGACCCAAACGCTCTGATTTATATACCCTATCCTAGAGTAAACTGCTTGAAAACCATACCCTTCACAGCGGCACATACCTGTATACCCCATATATGGCAGTACCCCCCCCCCGGGACTATATATAGCTGTACATTCGTTGACCCTCCCTCATACATTTTTCACTCTCCATCCCCTCTTTGTGTTCCCTAAACATTCCCTAGTATTTTATGCTTGAATATTTTAAAGGGTCTTCATCTGAATCTTCTAAGTACTAGACAAAAGGCCCAGCTCAACGTTTTACAACGCTTCAGTGACGCCGTAGATCAGCTTGAAGGGCGTGACGGGTGACGTCAGACCAAACTCAACCCAATCTCCTTAAAACTCAGCGGCAAACCAAAGTGGCGCGCATTTTCCGAATTTTGAAAATTCACAGAAAATCGAGGAAAAATCATACGACTATAATTTTTTCACCAATTAATGAGATCAGAAACAGAACCATTTTCCAGACAGCTGAGAAAGGAATTAGGGATTAAAGTGCTCCAAGACCCAGTTTTGTTCTATTTCTTTTCAAAAAGAATACATAATTTAGTGAAGATTAGAAAAAGAATTGACTTGATCCATCAAATCTGGTCCACGGGCGTGCGAAAGGGGATCTGGGTAATATAGCTGTAATGTCAGCGGGAAAGCCATTGAGACGATCGGACCATTACATTTTTGAGGGGGCAGGGTGGTTAGGAAATTTCCAAAAGAAAAATCCTGCAGAACAACTCCTGAAAAATAAATGCACAAGGGAAGCCATGGAAAATAAAATTCCTGCACAAGCTATTGCCCACCCCAAAAAATAAAAATCATGGACAACCTAATGGTGACAAAAAAAATCCCTAAGTCAGAAAATTGCCCAATCCCCGCCCCCCCCTCCCCTAAAAAAATAATGGCCTACCCCTTAGTTTTTCTCCTGAAATCAGGCAGGGATTATGAGGTGAGATATTTCAGAATAGATGCGAGACAAAGTAATGCTCCAACTGCTAATTTTATGATAAAGATTACCCTCAGTAAGAGAACAGATACAAAGACACACTTCGACCAGGACATTTATCATAGAGCACATTATCTACCAAAAATATCGCATGACCTGCGAGAAGCATCAGCTGAGACTGAATTCAATAAAAAACTGAAGAGAGCATGCACAGGGAACTTACATTGAAAAACATGTTTATCAGCAGTTCCTGTGAATGTGAAAACTCCCAGGGGGGGACTCCCATATAAAAAGGGTAGGGGTGCTCTTCAGAAATTTTGAAAAGAATCTTCAAGAGGTACCAAGACCCTGCTTTGTGGGTTTGGCTTGATATGTTCTTCATCCCTAAGAGGTAGCAATTCTGAAACAACACATTATCTCCTGTCATATTTTTTTTTCAGCTTAATACCCTAAAAATTATGACAAAAGCTCCCACTTTGGAGCTTCTGAGGCTGTACACCCTGAGAGGTACCAAAAATGTGTTTTTCATCCCTAAAAGGTATGATGAGCACCCCTATCCTTTTTACACGGAAGTCCCCCTACCGGGGGAAAACTCTCCCATTTAACAGTTCTAATTTCATTCATCACCCACATTGTGAATTGTTAACGTTGTCTCTGGCAAATGTATAGTAAAACTCTCTAGACTACCCTGCTGACTGCCATTGCATCAAACTATGTCTTTTTACAGTTTGTACATTGTTTTACAATCACTAAACAATTGACTCTGGTTAATAGATTAGGGCTGTTTTTAAGAGCCAGACTCTCAAAATATCTTGGCAGAATACTAGCAAATTTTGCCACATCCATGGTGTTACTACTTTTGTTGGAAATTCTTAAATCAAATATCTGCCTAGGCTGGCAGCTTTTGAAAGAGATGTTGCAAAACAACATGAAGTTTTGACTTTCTTGACATTGTTCTTAGCCATTGAAATAACTCAATGATTACTAACCCCTCATTTCCCAGAATAGATCAATGGTACATGTAACTTCTCCTTAAACAATATCAATACACCGCTAAGCAGACCAGTAGAGAGAATAAAGAAAATCATCAATTGCAACTGAGATATACTGTATTGATGAACTACCATATTCTCAAAACAAACAAAAGAAATGTTTGGCAATCAGTGTAGAGAATTAACAGTGTATTCTTTGGACTTAAAGGATAATGTTCCTGTCATACTAGGGTGCCATGGGTTTGCAGTTTGATAAAACTGAAAACAGTTTGATAATTGCCAGTATTTCTCTTACAGTTCTGTTCCCTAGTACAGCTGTTCTTTGCTTTACAAGCAATCGCACTGTGATAGTACACATTTTTTCCCTTCTACTTCATCAATCCTCGCCCTTGTATGATACCATAGTGTCAACTTTGTGCACAGTTGTGGAGAAGGACCTCAGCCGCACTTCTTGCGAGTTTGCGATAATCCTTGCCTGAGACTCTTCCCAACTTTCGGGAATATCTTGGTCTCTGTTGGTGTAGGCCAGCAGGTCAAATGCACCTACAAATTATTGGAATTGTTGACCGATAATCAGACAGTGGTATTCCCTTTATAGTGATAAAAAATAAGAACACCCAGGGACAAGTGGATCTCAAGCAGTGTTGGCCAATGCACTGCTGATGTTGAATGTGACTTTGAGCAATGTTTACCATTATTGGGTGTCAAGCTGGTTGAGGTGTGAACAAGAATCTTGGTGTCATAGGATTGGAAATGATTTTTCTATGTCTATAAGCTGTTACAATTTACAGTTTAGGATAATTTTAAATAATGAATTATTGCAAGTCGAAAATAAATGGAGATCTATACTTACACTGCCCATCAAGAAATGGAAGAAAGGTAACACTGGCAGTGATCTGTCGGATTACATCCCTCATTTCTCTTTGAATGTCTTTTTTGCTTTTTGGTGGGGGAGGTTTGCTGAAAACAATAAATAAACAGTTTCTTAGTCGTAAGAGCTACTTTCTCTTTCAGTATTAAATTTTAGCCTGCAGTGGTAAAAAACTGACAAGACCACAGGTCCATAGGCAGGCACTTTAGTAAGCACAATTTGTGTTTCTTGTGTGTCTTCCAATTTCCAATCCCAATACGTTGCATGAAACATACATTTACTCTAATGTATTAAAAAGATTGAAGTGAACATGTCTCATGACATTTTCCTTGCTACTGTCACTGGGAAAAATAGAATCCAGTTGTGAAACAAGAAGCAGTTACTGACAACATTCTGTCTTTACGAGTTACTAACCATACAGTTACTGTTTCCTTCACTAAACTTGCTAAACAACATTAATGTTTCCCATTTCACGAAGGCAAAGAAATAAATATATTTATTGACCACTTCCAAAGGGACTCTTCAGGGCCAATGGAAACAAATAATGTAAATGAACATAACATGGTTAAAAATCCCAACTAGCAGGAGGCAAACCAGTTGGCTATTTACAAGCATGATTGAGTAGTTGAACTCAGGACTACTAAGAACAACACCAACTAGTTGTCAGAATGGGACTACCTTAACCCTAACCCACAACCTCCAGATTTCAAGTTCAACATCCTAGCCACTCGGGCAGTTGCCTCCTGCTGACGTTGATACAATTGTTTTTGGAGTTCTTGTGAGTGTTATGTTTCTATCACTATGGTTCATGAGAGCTGGAAACTTCTTGTGTATGATGACAAAAATTTGCCCAAAAAGGCTCTTCTCCTTAAATAAACCAATGATTGTGGCAGATGCAAACCTTTTTTCTCCTTTCTCATCTACACCCTTTGCAGTGTTTTCACATTGAATATCAAACTGCCATCTCTCCACAACCTCATCTGTGTCCACTTGACTAATAACCATGACAACACGCTGCAGTGTTTTCTCCTGAAGCCACTCTGAGAAAACAACAAAGTAGGCCTTAGGTTCATGACTGAACTGTTCGCTATAATATTAGAAATCTCAATCGCAAGATAAGAACACAAAATTTGCACCATAAATTAAATAATATTGTTGGTTGTCTGAAAGTAGGTATTAGATATTTTATACGCTTGTACGTACACTCAATAGTCCTGGGGAGTGATCAACAATGAATTTCTCCTTATAACATCAACATATTGTTAAGCATATAGTTTATGAGAATAAATAAAATCATCAACTAAGAGATATTTTCTAATGTACCACCAAATTGTTAGAAACTACACCGAGAGAGACTCTTGGCAACCAATGAAGAGAATTAATATTTTGAGCAGTTTTATTTTGATCAGCTAGAGGGGTAATGTCTGGTTCAACTAACTGTTCGCCTTTACAATCAACTGTAATTATTACAATAGAAACACTTTTTAACTCGTACCTTTGACCTGTTGCAGTACTTTAGCAAGGTATACTTGCAGCTCCTTGTTGTCACACTTGAATAGCGTCATGTCGTAAAATTGCTCTCGCTTGAAGGAGTCCGCTGGATATATTCCTCTTTGATACAATATGCTGACAGAGAAGACAACAGGTCACGAATAGAATGGAATTGAAATGTACACAAGTATATGATTGTAAGCTAATTAAGCCAATTAACGACAGGGCTAAATGATCGTTTTGCCGTCCCCCTAAGAAATAATGGTTGATCAAGCATGTTCATCTAAAATGATGATCAATGAAAACGAATGTTTGATCGTTCACGATCTGCCGAGAAATATCGATGAACTTCTGCAGCTGCAATAAATAAGATTTAGCTTATATTTATACTGTACTGATCGTGAATCGGTAGCTGACCAAAGATCGCCTGAAAGCTTGACTCAAAACCTTACTTATCCTTTTTGATCTGAAGCAATAGCAAAAAAGAAGTTCTAAAATAGTTTTCAAATACATTTTCCACGTGTTTATATGAGTAACTAAAAGGTTTTAAGGCACCGCAAAAACTTACTTGTTTATCCCATATTCTGCCAAGAAAACAAAAGGAAAAGATCAAAATAAATTAGAATAGAACCAGATTAATTCAAAAATCCAAACGTAAAGAAAATTACCAAAGAATTCCGTCACTAATTCTGCGCTTCCTTTCAATGTGATCGACTTGCTTTCTTGCTTAGTTGCCGCCATTTTTTTAAAAACCAGTTATGGCTGCAAGGGAAGCTGGGAAGAATAATGAGGAGTGGAACTCGACTGGAAAATTGGGAACTGGGAAAGGACGGGCCCGGACAGGACTAATGAATTAGAAGAAAAAAGCGCGCGATTCAGGTAACAAAATGGACCCAAAATGTCACATCATAAATTAACTCTCGCCTCATTACTGAAGGTGTCTGGGGGTTTTTCTTGTACAATTTCTCGCCGCCATCTGCCTCGCGCTTCCCTGCGACAAGGAAAGCTCTTGTACCCATTAGCTTGAGAGTTACTGTAGTCGCTGCCCAAATCTAAGGACATAACTGTTCAAAACTTTTAAAACTTGAGAGTTAATTGAGGTCAGCCTAGCCTGCTGAATAGGCGGATTAGCGGAGCAGACCGCGAAGCGTGATACACGAGCGCGGAACGCTTGTTCTCAGGCTAAGGTCAGCCCGTCCCTTTTCGATCCAATTTCACTTCCAATGAAAAGAAATTAACTACGGGCAGCTGTTAGTGGAGGGAAGTTTCTTGAGTCGAACATTGCCTATTGTTTTATGGAATTGAGGCTGCTTTCCCTTCGCGATCATCGATCATCGACATAATTTTGGAATTCATTGTCCTGTAATGGGTGGTTATAAAATTGCGCAACAAAGCGTGTGTCCAGTGTAAAAAAGGGCGATGCACCTCCTGAACAAAAGGAACGTGGGAACAACCTAATCTATCATTCGCCCCCTCTCCCTTCCCACGCCGGTTTATCCACTTTGGAGGATTTAGGCGTAGGTAAGGTAAACTTTGTTTGATAAGTGGGTTGAAAGGGGGTTGGCAGCCGAAGGGCTGATGTGGACCTACCATACACAAAATTTAAAATTTAAAATTTTACAAACACGAAAGATATTAACAAAAGAATAAGAACTATGTACAAGTAAAATTAATATATTATACATTATATATGGTGAGAGTTCAGTGTTTAATTTATATATCAAGAAAATACCCCTTGGACAAACGCCAGGTTTAAAAAATCGATCTTTTAAATCTCAAGCCGATTGCACTTATCATCTCAAATCCTCCAGAAAGATTGAAATATTATGCTGTAAGGGACACAAGACACACAAAGCATCACATTTCCGACCATGTTGTGCTACGTCTGAGAACTGATATTTTTTTCATAGTAAATCACTTTCACCAGTCCATTGATGCATTATTTTTAGAAATAATTCTTCAGAGAACGTCACGATGTGAAATGAGCGGTTAACCGACGAAGCTAGAGGCTACACAAAGAAGAACAAGGACTGGCCCGTGAGCAGGCTCTTGTATTTGAGTTTCGCACTGAAGCGCTGCTATCTCCTAAGCGAAAAGTCAGATAGCAGCGTTTAAGGGCGAAACTCAAACACTAGAGCCTGCGAGCTTTGCCGCTCGCGCCCTCTACCCAAAACACAAGAGCCTGTGAGCAGGCTAAACAAGAACCTACCAGAGAATAGGAAATAAATATCTTTTTATTAGGAGTATGTTGTGTTAAAAATAATACAACAGTTATCTTCTCCACGCTTCAATACACCATCTGTCCACAAACGATTTTATTACCGTATAGCTATATTACAGTTCAGAAAAGTAATCACTACAGAGGCTGGCAAAAGAGTAATGCTTTAGTACAAAATCTTTACAGAGTTTCCTTCTTTTTTTAATACTAAAAAGTACCCAATTATCACCAACGATCTCGAGATTAACGTAAACGAAATATGTGACAGTCTCGCTAGTCAACATCCAAAATTGTGTATCAGTTATAGCGAGCCTTCTCATTGGCTAATGCTAGTCTTCTGATGTTGCCAAGGCAACCAGCTGCGGCTTCCTGGAGAACTTCGTCAGACGATCCAACCATTTCAAGAAGATACTATGATAGATGACAGTGAAAAAGAATTAGTTGATATTCGTGCATTAGGAGTGTCCAAAGTTCTCCTTCACGTACACAGTTGACTAATTCAGAAAAAGGAAGAATTTTTCCGTCATTCAATTAACTTAACTGAAGCAACGATTCATCAAAAGCGCTCTGGGCAAACGCTTCAGTCGTTTTGACTTTTAAAAGTGTTTTTATACTATAAAAATGACATCCGACGATGTCGAAACGACGTATATTTCTTTCGCTAATATTTGGGTTAAAAATATTCCCTCAAACCTTACTTATTTGATAATTGATAACGCTTTCAAATACATTTCTTGAACGGGTCTTTACTAAAAAAAAAAAATTGAAAGCTCTGACTTCAGCTTCATTTAATCATGCATGCAGCATGCATACAATAGCCCATTTCTGAGTTGCATTAAGCCTCTCTATCAAAGCGAGGCCTGGTGCACAACCATTCTGCGAAAATGAGTTTAATTTGCATGTGAATGAAATCTCATTTTCATATAAAAGGATGAGCACCAAGACTCGTTCTGAGATAGAGGCAAAGGGTAATTCGGAAATGGTCTATTCAGTGTTACCTTGACGACTCCACTATTATGCATAGAAATGCAGTTGTCTGGGTCACGTGACAGCTGATGTAGCGCACGCGCGGTTGCTCTATGTACATCCGGGTTCTTTGACTTGAGGTAGTTGACCAATGGTGGTACAGCGCCCGCTTGGCCAAAAGCGACTCGGTTATTACCCCATGTACAGCATCTGGCCAAGAAAGGAAAATAAATAATGTTACCACATTCATAACTAAAATCGAACCTGAAAACAATAGAAGTTAAGCGTATGGTCATGAAATGTATGGCTTTTAAATAGCGGCTAAAAGCTGTTCTCTTTGGTAGCTTTATCGTTTACCAACCTGGCAATTGATTCAGCTAAATACTGACGCAGACGATCATCAGTCTAAAATAAGAAACAAAAAAAAAAAAACTCAGAATAAGTACTAAAGTCGCTCTTTTCTCATACACAGTTAAATTCAGCTGCTAATACTGTTTTTTGTCACACCGTTGTGGCCAGCTTAGCCAGCATGGGTACCACTCCATGATCTGTGATCACTGCGAGATTTTCTTCATCCTTAGCTATGTTAGCAATGGCAGCACACACACTCGCCAAAACCTGTAATGCCAAGATACGAATAATTAGCAAGCGCTTATCCTCTAGTGCATTGCAATGCCTCCAAGACAAGGAACGCCACTTGTTGTAAGTTATATAAATCTAAAACCAAAGAACTAAGGTCCCGGAGAAACTGAATATATAAACTGGTACTATCATAAACAATTCATCTAAAACCAGTGAGCTAACGTCCTCCAGGAACTGATGAGATTAACGGATACTATCACAAACAATTCATCTTGTGCTCGAAAGTTTGAAATTGCATGTTTACCTCTCTGTCATCGGACTTCAGCAAGCTAACGATTAGTTCCAGTCCTCCAACAAACGAACGCACCATTTCTCCAGCATCCTGGGAACGAATTCAGAAACGAAACAAAGTTTAAATGAGGGCACTGTTGAAATTGTGCCAGGTCTCCGAGACCGGAGTGAGCTCGCAGTTTCCGTCTGGAAGTTGCTTAGCAACTGATTACGCCTTGATGCCAAGCCGTAACAATTTTTGTAGTACTCTCGACTGTTCTCTGTTCTATTATTTAATCACCAGGTCAAGACGTAATCGGAAAAAAGCGAATCAGCTGACCTTGATGTTCTTTTTCCCATTATTAATTAGTTAAAGGCCCTCCCATGTGTAAATCAAGGCCTCACTTCCAGCATGTCTTAAGCGCGCATGTCAGTCTTACCTTAGCATTTTCGATGCATGGACAAATGGCCCAAGCTGCGCTGGACTGAACCTGTTTTTGAAAAAAGGTTAAAGTAGTTATCTCAAAACTGTTTGTAAAGCACACTTACAGCTAACTACATACAGCACACACAGGCAACAAGTGTAAGTTGTAATCACAAGAATAAAATCTGAGACCTGGACAACCGACAAATCTGCGTCATATTTTCAACTCTCTTCTCAGTGATTGGAAATGTGGACATACGCGGTCTTTCGTGTTAGATCTATTACATTCAGAAGGACTGAAACTATCTGGCATTTGACAGACGAATACAGAGAAGTAAACATACCTTGGGGTTATTGGACTTGAGAAGGGACCACAGAAGACGAACTCCGTCAAGACGATCGATAATACTAAAAGTGAAAAAAAAAGACAACAATAAATAAAAAATGTAATCATTCAACCACACAAAAGGACTACAAAGTCTAGTTTCCTCCGCAGTCGTTATTTCACTGCGAAGGACGGAAAGTAACGGATGGAAAGTAGATTACACAAAGTCTATTTCGTGCCAGTTATTGTTTTCTTCACACTAAGGATAAAATCTCAGTTCAGTCGAAGAAAGCCTTAGCCTTGTAAGGTTCCACTACACAGATGATTTTATACTCTAGGTCGAAAACAGAATGAACCTTGTTGTATTTCAGATGGCTAAGTGAGTCCTTGTTATGTCACCGGGCTTAGAAAAGTTCTTTTACAGGCCAAGTGTCCCACAAAGCTAAAGTTATCTTTGTTTTGCCTCTGAATCGAGAGAGGCAACGTGTGAGTAAAATTTTTTTCGGCTTGCTTGCATAAATTGTTTTTCTTTTTGATTATAAACGGTAGTGCCAGGATACTCACGCCATGTTATCAGGCTCGGTCGCACAGGCCCCCACGGCGTTAGTGACATTGACCAAGAGAGCCTGGTTCGTACTGGTCAGCAGGTTCACAAGTGAAGGTATTCCACCGGCTTTGCGGATGGTTGTTCTGTTAGCTGGGATTTGAGCACATTCGCCCAGGGCTCCAACTACGTTGATTAATACCTGCACGAACAAAAACATCGAAAACTGTTATCAGTATGAATTAAACAGTGCATATAGGTTTAGAAACAGAAAAACATGATGTTTGGCGCCAGCCTGCGCAGTGATCGGTTCCAGGCGGGCCAAAAATCGGCGGCCAAGTAAGGAAGAAAGGAACTTAGGGCGAATTTAAACGAGAGGGGAAAAGTTTTTTCTCTTCCTATTCGCTTCCTTTCTCGACCTTTTCCTCGCCCCAACTTAAACAAGCTAAACGCTGCAGATTTCTTCTGCACAACGTCGTAAGAACTTGTAAATTTTGAAATTCTAGAAAACAATGAAGACATAATGTTAAGAGCTAGAGGCTAGTGTGAAAGCAAGCGATCGTTTTAACATTACCTCCTCTGGTTGTTCGTTCAGCAGAGATACCAACTGATCGATAGCCTTTAGTTCTTGAAATCTACCGACAAGAAAAATCAATCTATTAAGTGACGCGCGACGGAACTTGGTTTTTGTTTTTGAACTCTGATTACAATGGACCGCTGATATAACTTTAAGATAACAGTTTTTTCTGTAATCCTTCGTAAGACCACTAACTGAACAAAATTAGAGGAAATGAGGACTACGAGAGAGTGGCTAAATTGGACCCTGTAAAGAAGGTTTTGGAAAAAAACCGGGAAAATAATAGTACAAGGCAGAGAGAGGAACATATTTTTGTTTCGTACCTTGTTACATTTTCACGGCTGATAGAGCATTTCCAAATGGCTCCCGTGGCAGCGGCGAGTAACTCCTTATTTTCAATATTGAAGGACAAAGATACCAGAGGGTCCAGGCCCCCATACTTTCGCACAAGGTCACGGGTTTCATCATCCTCAGCACACTGGAAACAAGTACAGGCATCTACTAAGTGACAGATCTGTGTGTGGTGTACGTAGTACACTGACTCATGGCTTAAATGTTCTGCTGGTAACAGAAACCCCTTGGAGTTTAGGGCCATGAGAACTGCATATCAGAATTTGCCCTGGGATAAATCACCCTCCTGTCATTAGCCCCACTAGGGATTTAGCGCCCTTAAAAGATTACTTAAACAAAATTAAGCCCTGGACCTCGCCTTTCCCTCGGATGAAAGGTTTTTTCCTCTTCTTCCTCATCCAAGTTACTGAGAAATTTACGAAACAACTACACTTTTTGGAAATTAAAGGAACCAAGTTGTTGTTGGTTGCTGTTGCCTTAAATTTATCGGAAAAACAGTTGATTATCTTTGACATTGAAAACTTATCTTGAACTGACAATGAGAGAAAACAAGAAAGAAAACTTTCGGGCTAGTTCATGTTTCGCCGAGAGAAGCTGTTACCTTAAAGATTGCACTAGCACAGTGCATTTGAAGTTCTTGATTTTCACTCTTCAAGTTTCTCACGAGATCCTCGATCATGCCTTCTGTGCGAATGGCAAGTCTGTAGCTGGCCTGAAATCAAAACGTTCATTGAAAACTTAGTTTACAGTTGTATAATATTCAGGAACAGAGGGGTTCTCAAATAACTTTGGAAAGCAATTGTGCATGTATGTTCCAGTCGAGTTCCTCCCAGTACGCGACCGAATCCGAAAGAGCGGCAAAAAATCGAGCCTACATGTCCGGGGCAGTAGCGCGGGCTCCTCTTTTAAACAGCGGCTGGTAACCGAGCTTATTGTGTACGTCCCTGATTCAGTTTTGGGTTTACTGGTTAAAGGAGCTCAGTCACGGTATTTTGAGTTACTTTGGGCGAGTACAAAATTACCTTAAAATTAAAGGAAACCTGAAAATAGTAGTTCACTGAGATGGAGAAACACCAAAGAGATAATGATAAACCATAAAGGAATAAGGATGGTTAAGGATGGAGAAGATTAACACGGATTACAAAAGAAGAACTTGAAAAATTTAAGTGACTAAACTTTTCAAGATTCGCAAACCGTAACGCAGCTGTGTTCTGAAGGAAGACTGACTCGCACTGACCTCAGAGGCACACTCTTGAAGTGTTCCTACAACAGGAATCAGCATAGCTTCATTGCTAGACTTGAGCAGTCTTGCCAAGAGAGGTATCCCCCCGGCTCCACGAATAGCTTGTTTGTTTTTGGTGCTCTTACTACAGCTCCACAGGGCCAGTGCTCCACACCGCGCCACATCAGCTTCCAGATCTGAAGCATTAGTAAGGGTTCCACAGTCTAGGAGTGACACCTGTCAATTAAAAAGATGACAATTTCACAAGTGCCGACAGTTCCGTATCTTTTGTACGTTAGTTTCCTAACATGTATGTGTGACTAAGAAACAATCATTTTCTTCAAAGCGGTGAATGTAATCCTTCTCCGAGATTTGTCTTTGAGAAGGTCGACAATCGGAAAAGGCACGTTCTAACCATAGGGGCGGAGACGGGGGGAGTCTCCCGAATAAAATGACAGTAGAGATTGTCTTACTCGATTTGTTCATTTTCAAGCTTAAAGGGTACAATAAATTACTTTCCCACTTCTTCTTAGGCGATGAAAACTACTGCTTTGAAGACCTTCTTCTCCGACAAGTACGAGCACAAGTAGCAGCAGCAATTTTGTTTCTGCTGTTCTACTCCAAAAGGCACTCAGTATAACTGCAAATGGTGGTTAAAATAAACTGAAATATCTTTTCCGCTAAGAAATCACGAATTTAGCCCATTCAATGATAGACCCTTTATCCCCAGCACTTTTACAAGGTCTATGAAGCCCAACGGGCACGCTATTTTCTGCTCAGCTCACCAATTTTCGAATTCCGCCATACTGCCTGACTGTACGTCTTGCTCTTCTGAATTTAGCCACATGAGCAATGGTCTCAGCGGCTAAACATTTCAGCTCTTCATTGAAGCCCAGGAGAAGTTTCACCATTGTCTGCAGACCTATGGAACAAGAACACAAAACAATGACACTCGTTATTAAGTACCATTCACTGTTTCCCTGAACTCACTGAAAATTCACTGAGCCGGCAGCTTTTGTAAGTTGTTACATGAAAGGACTTGTTATGGCGACAAGATGACGTCTGCACTCAAAAAATCTTCTGCTTTTGCAAAGATTTATCAAACACAAATGTTTTACCGAATTTAACGCTTATTAATGAGATTTGTACTGCTCGATCATTTTCTCACCTCCCAAGTCAGCAATGGCCTTCCTGATGAGAGAATTTCTTGAGATTTCTTTCAAAATCTTCAAAGACCCAATCTGTAAGAAACGAGAAGAGATGTTATAGTCTTTTCTCACCTTGTTCACAGTAGTTTTCTTCCACTTCTCTGAGGAGTCTGTTATCCTTTTCAGGACAATCCCTAGCGCATTTCTGTACCGCTATCAGCGTTCCTCTCCGCATATTTTCACCTCTACTCCCCGNAACAACAACAACAAAATCACATAAGCTCTGGCAACCACAATCTTAGGCCCACTCTCTTTGGGTTTCCTTGTCGCTGTCAGCGACTCGCTGAGGACGAGGGCGGCAAAGGAGAGGGAACCTGGGATCGAGGTTGAAACTTTTGGCCGGATACTCTCGGCCCAGGTCATCACTCTTATTCCAGTAGAACACATGCCATACGATTTCTGCATCATGATTGAGAGGAAAATAAATAAAAATGTTCTCTAAAATTACCTTGCACTTGATTTCATCAGTCTCCAGCAGGTTAATCAGCACTTCCAGTCCACCAACATCTCTGATGGCCAGCTGACATGTCTCTTGTAAAAGATTGAAATCTCGCATGGCACATAGAGCTATAATGGTAGCGGTCTGATTTCCACTCTGTGATGAAAAAAATTGTGCACACTTTCGTAAACTAATGTATGCACTTGTTGCTGTTTTGAGCTATAGTAGCTACTGTCGACAACTTTGGCTTGATTTCCGCTGCTCTCTCAAGTCTGATCTACCTTCGGGGTGGGAGCACAGGCTCCTATTGTGAACAGCAGCTGGTAACCGAGCCTATTGAAAACACAGGGGGCAGTAAAAGATATGTGATGGAGAAGTGAGAAATAAGCAATGAGTTAACAACTCCAAACACCAAGACAAGAAATACGTATGTGAAAAAGAAATTACCAGCAAAACATGTCATCTGTTTAACACTATAAACGATTTGCCCCATCACAAGAAACCCACATGCTGTGTGCTTTAGAGGAAAGTAACCTGATTCAACTGAGTTTTTAATGGAGTGCTGCTTTATGGAGGAATTTGCACCACCACAGACTATTTCAGGTGACCTTCAAACATGACTGTTAAACCAGCAACTGTTAAACCAGCCAGAGTAACGGTTTAATCATCAATAATCCAAGAGAAAAAAGTTAAAATATTATTAACTTAAGCCTTGTTCCTTATATCCCTGCAAGGAAGAAGACTGACAGCAGAAGAACATGACTCCTGAACAACCTCTCCCCTTCCGACCCAAGAGAATAAAATCCCAAAAGGCATGATACATACCTTCAAATACTTGACCAGCTTCTGAATCTGCCAGTATTCAGATGGTAAATCAGCATTTGACTCCTGCAAAGAAAAGCTCTTCATTTCAATATTGTGTTTTGAATTTTGCAGCACAGTTAACTGAGAGGAACTGCTGATTTGAAGCGACTGTTTTCTCATACCGGTGGTAAATGGTAAATGCAAGACTTTGCAAGAAGGTGAGGCAAACATTTTTCTTTGAACAGTGACACCCATCAGATTTGAGATTTGGAGTGCCAGATAGATTTGGCCTGCCAAATATTGAAAATTCAAGATTTGGCATAATAATTCAACATTTGAAATTCAAGATTTGGGTGGCCCAGCATCAAAACTTTGAAAATTCAAGATTTTAAAATTCCAGATTTGACTTGCAAAATATCGAAAATTCAAGATTTTGGCCTGGCAAACATTGAAAATTGAAGCTTTGGAAATCCAAATATTGAAAATTTGAGATTTGGAAATGCAAGATTTGGCCTGCCAAATATTGAAAATTCAAGATTTGGCCTAATACATGTAATTCAACATTTGAAATTCAAGATTTGGATGGCCTTGCATCAAAACTTTAAAAATTCAAGATTTAAAAATTCCTGATTTGGCTTGCAAAATATTAAAATTCAAGATTTTGGCCTGCCAAATATTGAAAATTCAAGATTGGCTTGCCAAGTATTGAAAATTCAAGATTTGGAAATTCAACATTTAGCTTGCCAAATATTCTGGAATTTCAAAATCTGGAAATTCAAGATTTGACCTGCCAAATGTTGAAACTCCCAGATTTGGAAATTCAACATTTAGCTTGCCAAATATTCTTGAATTTCAAGATTTAGAAATTCAAGATCTGGAAATTCAGGATTTGGAAGTTTGAATGGTTTTGCACAAAGACTCGTTTTTATACATAAGCAAACAGCAAACTCAAAAGTGGCCTATTGGTATTGATTCTTTGGTGTGGTCTGAAATAAGGCAATGAAAATCACATATTTTGGTCTGAAAAAGAGTTAGGGGAAGGGTTTCAAGAAACGCATGTTATGCACTACATATCCCCCACTAAATATTTCAGGGATTTAACAGTGAACCCCTCTTCAAGGATATCCAAACTAACCTGTCGTCTGTCTTGACTCTCCTCTTCCTCTTCACTTTCTGAAGAACTTTCACTAAAGTATTCATCTATGTCACCCTTCATCTGTGATCGTACTGACACTCGCGTAGTCTTACCCATTTCTCTGAAAAGCAAAGTAACGAAAACTGAGAGTGCATGATGTTCCTAAGCCAACAGCATTATCAATGCTTTTTTTTATGAATTCTCCCCAGCATTGGAGTTGTGGCAGTCCATTCATGCCCATTTTTTACTGATAGAGCCCCAACCCCTTACATTTTTTCACTTGCACTGGTCAAAATTCCTACATAATTTTTACTTTGCTTGTGCTCTCAATGACCAACAGCATTGTAATAATTATGTCAACTTTTTTTGATGAATTCTTCCCAGCAGTGGAGTTGTTGCTCTCTATTCATGGCCATTTTGTTTTGATAGCCCCAACCCCTTGCATTTGTTCACTTCCACTGTTCAAAATTCCTACATAGTTCTTACTTTGTTTGTGCTCTCAATGACCAACAGCATTGCAACATGTCAACATTCTTTTGAAAAATTATTCCCAGCAGTGGAGTTGTGGCAGTCCATTCATGGCCATTTTGTATTGATAGAGCCCCAATCCCTTGCATTTTTTCACCTGCACTGGTTAAATTCCTTCATAGTTTGCTTTTGCTCTCAATGATTTTATGATGTCACAAAAGGTTTCTACAGACTAGAAATGTGGGAGTTACTTAATCTAAACTGAGTGGCATTGGACGTTAGCTTGATTACCACCCGCTGTTTGGGAAAGGAGCCAGGGATGAACATAGACCAGACCCAAGAGAGCAGCAGAAATTGAGCCTTCATCAGACATATCAAAATCATAATTATATCACTCTTACCTGCTTTTGGAGTGTCGTGATGGGGGTTTCTTATCAGGAGTGCTCTTGCCTTTTGCTTGGTCTTTTTTCCTAAAATGATTAAAAATAATGACAGTAAGTTCTAGCCGGAGTCTCCATAATATACTTACTGATACTCCTACTAACAATATCTAATGATCTTAAACTCATCTGGGTCCTAAATTGGCTGAACCATTAATTCAAACAACTGGTCTCTTATCCAAACACATTTTACCAGCAATATGTTAAAGCTAACTTGAATTTCATTTTCTCTACAATGTCTGTAAGTTTCAAAAACTAGCCTTTCAAGTTTTTCAGACACGGTTGATTAATAAACTGCAAACAGTTGAGAGCATACTATTTAGACCAAATTCTAGTCTGAAAATCAGTCTGTCACAACAATGTGATGAAAACTGTGCTTGTATGTTGTGCTTTATAGGTGGAGTATGTCACGCATGTGTCTAGTTAGCCTGAATAAGTGGCCTCTAAGCTAAATGCACTGGTTAACATTCACAAAGTTTAACTTGATTTCTATCACAAGCCTTACAATTCAGATTATCACACCAGTCAATAGATTACTTGCAAAAAATTTGGATGTTAAAATTTCAGAGGTTTTATTTTGGATGTTTAATTTTTGGACACTTTCAGACAAATTTCCCACAACAATTTTGGACACTATGTCTTTGCTGAAACAGCGAAAGAAACTTTACACCTACGAAACACGAATTAGACTGAAATAACACCTGTGAAAATGGTTAGTTTTACTGCAGCCTCAAGGTTTCATGAATACACCAATGAGAAAATAACACAAATCCTATCAGCCATTACTTATGGCGAGCAGTGTCTCAACTAGAGTTCCCTCCATAAAGCTCAGCATAAAAGATTCCCTTAGAGCTTTGGAGCTACTTCCAAGTTTGATAATGTACTGCAAATATTTCGGATGCTTAAAATTTAGGACGCTTAAAAATTTTGGACGGTTCTATTTTCAGACACTCAGGTTGTGCACAACTTACTCATCCTTTCCAACCAGGTCTTCACCAAATTCAATGTTAATATTTTTCCATCGTGGTGATGACTCAAATTTTTTCCCTCCTTTAGTTCCTTTTTTCTTCTGTGTTGCTTTGCTGGCTTTTGTCTTAGTTGCAGCACTGAAAAATCCAGACATCAATGTCACACTCACTTGTTAAGTGTAAATGCACTTGATTGCACCTGAAACTCACTCAGGTGAACTGTGTACATTAAAAACTTACATTTTCAACATTTGTGAACATCCATTAAATTCTTTTCAGTTGTGACCAAGCCTGAATCATTCCCGATTCCTGAATGCACATGTAGGTTACTCTCTCTTTCAGTCTCCAATGTTTTTTTTTTCTATCAAAGTACCCAAACCTCAAATGTGAAGTACAAAACTTATCCATATGGAAGATATTCCATTCAGTTGACAAACCACCAAATTTTCAGAAACTGGGATAAAAGTCAGCATGGCAATTGGTGAGAATATCAATGTTTGCAATTTGTTCAATGGCTTACTTCTGTTGATTTTTAACCTCCACTCCATCAGCAGCTTCTTCTCCAGCAGATCCATTCATTTCTTCGTCCTTCACAGTCTCCTCAATCTTGTCAGTTTTGTCTTGCTTTACTTCAGATGAGCCATAATATGTAAACTCCTACAAACAGAAATATCTCTGTTAACAATGAAGAGAAAAAGAGGAGCCCTGTCTTGTCACTTCCCTGTTTGCATGACCATCTTGGTATTCTGTACCGCAACTTTTCCTTGGACTAATCTGCCATGTGCAGTTACAACTTATTCTTGACGGCAGTTAATAAATAGTGGATGGGTAAAGGGGTGGGAACCTCAGAATAAATCAGGTGGAAACTTAAGGTTACAGTATACCTTCGGGTCGGCAATTTTCTTCATATTTGGATTTTGGGGTCAAAATAGTGGTTGAGGAATAATATCTAATTTCTGAAAAAAATTTTTGAAAAAGGCTAAATATTGGCGGAGAAATGGCGGTTTTACGTTTTCACCGGAAGTAAAAGTTTACCTCTTGATTGAC